GGTCAGTTACGCAAGTATACGACGCCGCCTACAAGTTCCAAGTTGTCGATGCCATTCATTTGCTGCGCGATGCTTGAAAAAGCGCGCCAATTTGACAGCTCTTCTTGTTTTTGTTTATCTCGAGCAAGCGCTGTCACCCCGCGGGAAGGCAAGTGGAGGCAAGCGCTGTAGTGACCTTCGTTCCAAGGCTCGTTGATAGGCTGGCACATCGGCTGCTATCGCCGGCATCCACGCGCGGCGGTGAGCCTCGTTTCACCTCGCGGGTTAGTCGTGCTCAAAGAACGGCTCGCCGTTGGCCGCGATTCCGGCCGTTCACAGGCGATCAATATACAAAGGACGGCATCGTACGCGAACAGCGCGTTACCGTGCCCGCGGGTTTCTAGAAAGTCGCGAAAGTTGATTGCGTTCGGTTGCAGCAGGATCAAGAGTTACTGAAGGTTTATATCTTCTCTGGTTTTTATTTCTGCGGCTTTCCGTGCGTCGAACACTGATTATGCTACATCGGTGGCGTGCGCGTCGTTTTCTCCGTTTTGAGTCAAGCGGCGATTACTTCGATTTGAAGTCAAGATGCTGAACCGGAATCCGATTCCTCGAATGTCAGACGGCGATTACGACTTGTACCCAGGCGAACTGATGCACGCATAGGGGCCTCAGTTTGTGAAACAACGCGCATACATTTTAGTTGTGAATACAAGTTTCTCACTATATTTATTTGTATATAGTATTCATGAACAAGCAATGCTTCTGCGGCAAACATATATTTAGGTACTTCGTAGTCCCCCCAAAGAGGAGAGCCAAGAAATTTTCTTTTGTTTTCCCGCAGAATAGGTTATTTTGAAGATTCGAAATCTAAAATGAAAGATGGGTCCTGAGGGTTACTGATGGCGACCTCTGACCATCACAGCGCAAACGAGTAACACTAAGTTTTCGCAATGAATCATGAAATTAACCTGAAAACTGGAAATTTTCTCACAGAGGAGAAATTATGGCAACCAAACTATATTTCATTATAAAATTTTGCCCACTTTCATGAAGAAAGCGAAAAAATCATTTGGGAGGCCAAGTACTTGATAGTGCCATGTAAACGTTTTGCGTGGAACCTATTCGATACTTCGGGGGTGGCTCCCCCGACGCGTTGTGCTCGGAGGCCGCTCTGCAGATGCTGTGCCAGGTGATGCAGCAACCACAGCGCTTGCACTGGACCACAATAAAGACTCACTCACGTGATCGCAGAGTGCGATGGCGAGCTTTGGGCTGCGTGGAGTACACGCGCGGCGACGCCGCTAGAAGCGCCCCAGTATGTCGACGGTGCGAAAACAAGCTGTTTACAAACATGGCAAAGGTGTAGCTGGCGGTATATATCTAAGCCAAGCAAAATTTCGATACGGCGACATGCTGCGCTCTGCGTTCAACTACTCGGTACGCATCTAACAGCACTGAAGTGAATACTATAGTATCTTTGTTGTAATCCAGACCCATGAAAGGCGGTGCGCAAAACAAGAATGAGAAAGACTATATAGTGCCGCGTTTTCGTGAACTTTCTTTTGGGTGCGACGCCATCATCATTTAGGGTGCGCTGCGAAATGATGTACACCGCCACTGGGTAAAGCCGTAATTTCTACGCTGCTTTCTCTTCCTCTCCCAATTGTTGTACGAAGGTAATAGACGCGACAATGCCATAACAATGCGAGTTACGTCTGCAGCCTCAGTTGAAAATAGGCGCAGTATGGCTTCACTTTCACTACAATTGACATTGCTTAAAGCGGGGGTGACAAGCACTCCGCCAGTGGGCTGCATTTGGGCCCGTGAGGCACTCAGTTGCTGCCCGCTCATGAATGTCTTTACCCCATATTTTTTATAAGCATGCTCGTCAGCTACCCAGGTCTGACGGGTTTAAAGCATTACTTCCGGGAGGCATCCCATGTGCTGCAATTGTTTCGAAACATAACCAGAAACAAAAACTAAATTTCACAATCAGCGTACAGATTTGAGTCATTTTGGAGATCTCTATCGACATGTATGAGTCGTGGCACAAATTTTCCTCAAAAAAGACGTGTATATGAAATATTGGGAAGTTTTTTTTTTGTATCATCGTATCTTCTCCGGCGGGACTGAATTGTGAGCAACCCGCTTGAGGAGGTGAGTTTGAAACCCCTGGCTTACAGGCCTCTATAAATGCACATATGAAGTCGACGTTGATTACTGAAATAGCGGTCGATAAACCTCGTAGTGCTGCTTTTGTGCCAAGGAAGTGCATATCTTGAAATGAAGTCACCTTTTGTTGTCCGCATGCATGGCGTTATCGATTTTCAAACCGCCCACCTGAAAACGAACCTTGCCCAAGTGTTGCGCGCCTTCACTGCGCGGCCACCGACGCTAACAGCAGCAGATCAAGGGTAGCTCGAGCCCCAGCAGCAACAATAGGGATTAAAAAAATTATGCTAGCTTAGTTGAATTGGGCCCTGCTATAAGACACTACCTACCGAGCCTAACCAGGTGAAAGTGGCACTTTTGAACCATTCGCGCCATTCTCGACGGAAACGACCGGCGGTTCTGTCTTTCCACGAATCAAAGAGAAATCGACAAGCAACATTTTATTATGAGTTGTAATGCAAGGAAGGGTCTTTTTTTTTACTGCAGCAGGTTTCATTACAAGTAATTAATTGTTGTCGCGCCCCTTGACGTCATTGGGATCATTTCGAGATGCCCCACTCATAGTGCATGTGGTGTCGTTAAGTTCTCGATCAGTAGAGTACCGCTGTTGACAATATTAAGTTTTTAGACATTCCCAAACATTAATATTTCACTCTGACGTGAATCGTCCTTTCCCATTAGTGTACTCTAAACTAAGACGACTTGACGAACTTCTTAAAGAAAAGCTAAAGAAATAAAAGGCACAGACAGAAAAGAGGAACTGGCACGTGTACCGTTCCACCATCTTGTAAACAAATGCCGTCATGCTATTATAAGGGCTCTACAGCACTGGTGTGATTGTGCAATATTCTCCGTAGGAAAGCACAATGCGACTGAGACAATGGCCGAAAACCAAACACCATACATGAGTGCTGACTATAGATTGTCATGTTGAAACGACAATCAAACAATGATTTCCGTTTCTACATGCCAATCCAGAGAAAGTTTTCGTGTGCGGTTTGTGTTCTTTGCTCCGTGACTTAGTCACGCGGTGCTAACAGATTCAATCTAATGAAATTCTTACTGTGGTATTCTCCACTCATTTACTCGCTGATGCGCGCATTTGCAACGACATTTTGTCAGGGTCGTTTGATGGCAAGCTGCCATTTTGATATTTCCCGCCCCACATGGTAGCGGGCAGTTGCGCAACATCTTTTGTCGCTGCAAGTGACTCCGAGAACCCATTTGGGAGTTTTCTTCGTTTCACAAGACTACGTAAATGACACTCGATTGCTCTCATTTCAGTCTGTAATACTGCCAAGCACGTTGCAGACATACACATACACACAAAATTGTAGTATACCGTTAACTGTGTGTTTAGCATCCCGAAGCCCTTTGTATTTTGATGGGGCACTAAAGAAAAAATAAGTTTTTTTTGCGTATTATAGAGTGTAATTTTCTGATCCCGAAAACACTTTTACCATGGCGCGACGCTTGGTAAGCGTGGAAATGCGCGAGAAGAAAATGCGGGTGTAGACGTCACCTTGAGATTCTCTAACCAAACACCATGACGTCACGAATTTTGAAGGCATCTAATGGCCCACCAAAGCTTCTAATTGATAAAAATAAAGCACATTCTCAATTGCAGGTGTCATAGAGCTAGCACACAAGGTTTCAGCAAACTTCATCTAGCGATGCTCCGAATATGCGAAAAATACATTTTGAACTGGTAACGTCACGTGCGCAGATTTTGGCACGAAATTTAAAATTAAACTTGAACTTTGACTTCTGCTCTAATAATGAACTTATGGCAGGTAAAAGTATGGTATTCTATCCCTCAGAGTGCAGTTTATCAATCTAAACCAGGTAATTCTTGCTCTTTAGTGTGTCTTTAAAAGTACAGGCTCAGTCATAAAACTTCACTGTAAACGCGTGTACTCGCACACTGCAGGGTAAATTGTTACACTCGTTTATACTGTCGAGAACTCACGGGTAAAACTAAAAAAAGAAGAAAGAAACACTAAAGCGAATTCAGACAACAGTAAAGAAAAGCCGCAAGGGCATACAACATCAGAGAACACTCCCAAAGAAGTCACAGGCACTTGCAACTTCTGCGGTTTATTGCCCCAGCACAAAAGTGGCGAAAGTAGGGAACCAGAGTTACTCTGATGCATCACTTTCTTGGATTCGGCTACTGTGACGCGTGCTCGCCACAGCGGTCGCCTTCGACTCTCACAGTGCGCAGGGTGAATATGCAAGACGATGAAACTTCAACGCAGAAATTTGGAATAGTTTGTGGTGCGCAGAACTTGATGATCGTAGGAAGCGCAACAGAAGAAACACAAAAGAGGCATTCATTTAAGCAGGATGGTCGTCCGTTCTGTATACGCGTATCATTTTTTTGTGCTTGTTTCATTGTGCTTGCTAAGATACACAAGTTCTAAACGACGAAAGACGGCAAACACGGCGAATGGCAGCCACACAGAGTGCACACTTTGGTGGAGATTTGCAGCAAACAGGGGAGCCACGTTGAAGCATGCGCAACAAATAGTCCAAACCATCACGCACCCGAGTGCAATGCGCAGTTGTCACGCGAGCACAAGGAAAGACAGAAGAGGACAACAGGAAAATACGCACTGCATTCATCAGCGTTGCAAACAACAAAATCATTTTCAAAAAATGGCCACATACGGAACACCATGAGGACAACGATACCGTACAATGCTCGGGAAATTTTACGAATGGTTTCGTCTGAACGACTATCAACGTCAACAGAGAACATCCAGCGTGACACGCTACCAGACCACATAGTTGCCCAACATTTGTTCGCATGTTCACGACATCGGCCGATCTGTCGATTGACTCACCCCGGTGAGCGATGGGGGAGGTAGCGAGTTGTTGGCTTTCCAGGTGCCCACTTCGGTGTGCTGCAGGCATAGGTCGGCCAGAGGGGACTCGGACGACGACAGACACTTGCGGGCGGCCGCCAACGTCTCGCCGCCTACACCGCCCAAGTAGTGGTCCATGCATTTGACGCCCACTTCCAGGTCGTTGGGAGCAGCGGCTGCAAAGTGATTACGACGATGTAACGAGCGTCTGCCTTTCCGAATGAGTCATCGCTATAGCTCATCTTCAAGAATGAGGAAATTGCAGTTTCGCAAGGCGTTTGAAGCGACTTCCGCAATCCCATTTCCGCATCGTGCCCATTCTTGCTCGTCCCGCGTGCGTATTCTTAGCAGCGTAAATAAGGGCTCGACAAACGACCGCTTCCTGGATGGGCAGGAAGGAAGACCTTGAACCCAATTCGTGTGGGTCAAGGTTCTCATCGAGGGCATCCTGTGTACGCGTGGGACACGAGCCTCGCTTTGTTACTAGACGTTGGATCGGAAAGGCTTTCGAGGCATCCGTTCCGCTGAAAACAATATCGGAATGTTTATTCCCATTACATGCTTATTGAACTGTCCCACTATATTTACGCGTCACGGGAGTCGCCTTATGCAAAAGTAAATTTATTTTGAGTCATCGGCGATGCGTGCGATGTCTTAATAACAATCACACACAGGTATGTAATAGGAGTGGAATACATATGGCACTGCGCATACACCAGTTTCGTGTGCCTTTACTCGACGCTATCGAGGGAAAGGCCCCAAGTGGTCCTTGCACGCAGGCTTTGAAGTACAAAGTGTGCCGACGCGGTACGCAGGCCGTGTCTGCCCTTCACCACAGCCTAACCCTAACCCACTTTGTTTTCTTTCGCTTTCCCCAGTCAGCGTGTGCTGTGATGTGGGAGCTAAAAAGTTGTTTCCGACTATAGTTTGCGTTCGTTGGGTAGATCGTGGCACTTGCTTTTCCGCTTGTCTGAGTCTTTCTTATGCATTGCAGATATCGACCTCTTAACCTCAATCTCTGTAGTTGCGACAGTCCTTGTATACGGAGGAAGGAGAAGGCGTAACACGGCAGAAAATCGCCCGCCTGAAGAGAGTAGCGCACGATACTTCCTGCTGAAGGGTATAACGCATAGAAGCTCCCCTAAATGAGGACGTGTGTCTTGATGGCAAACATCGCGGTTGATATGTGGCGATCATCTGTTAAAAAAAGTGCACGAGGGTGCGCGTTACGTGAAAACGAGCTGGTAACGCTTTCCACAGTGCTCTTTGCAATAGCTGGTAGGCGAAATTTTCTGCTGCACCCACTCCTGCAAAGATCGAGTGGCTTAAGAAATGATAATTCTTTCGTTCCGTGCCATCGGTGGAAGCTGTCACACTACGAGACATTGTCACGGTGTTCTTGTGCTCATGATGATTGAATGCTGAACCACGAGATCGAATCTCAGCCGCGTTTTCGATGCAGGCGAAAATGCTTCAGGCTCGTGTGCTTACATTTAGGGGTACGTCAAAGATCTTTAAGTGGCGACTGTGGTGCCTCTCATAATCATATCCTGGTTTTGGGGCGTTAGACCCCATCAATCATTGTTGCTATATTATGACCACCAGCGAGAGCTATTTCATGCAAGTTATTTCAGCTTCTCTACACCGCTCCTCGTGGCCTCTGGAATACCGTCTAACCACGTTGTGCGTGGCCAGCAAGTTTTACCTGGCGCTGACCTTGACTCTCACTCCATTGAGCTGATATTTTACATGACAAGGGCTAAATTGGAGGCGTGTAGTTTCTAACGTGGTTGCTTGGGCGAGTTGGTACGACATGATTAACATAAAAAAACAGCGCCAATAACGAGGGACAAAAGAAAGAAGGAGACAGACAGTGGCACTCCCTTACAACAAGATTTATTTGCTGGAACCGCATGATATACACTTGGGCATTATCTGACAAATAAAGAGAAAAATACAAAACAAAGAAAACAGAATCCAGCTAACAACTACGTAATCATCGCCACAACGCACCATGAACAACACGTGTGCTAATGTTCTGAAGAAAATCTATTTCTTTTTACGATAGCGCAATCGAAGGCCTGCTGACACATACACTGTCCAGCCTTTCTATCTCTGCAGCCTCATGAATTTCACGTATCATCTGGTGAAATTTATGAGGCTGCAGAGATAGGAAAGCTGGACAGTGCATGTGTCAGCAGGCCTTCGATTGCGCTATCATAAAAAGAAATAGATTTTCTTCAGAACATTAGCACACGTGTTGTTCATGGTGCGTTGTGGCGATGATTACGTAGTTGTTAGCTGGATTCTGTTTTCTTTGTTTTGTATTTTTCTCTTTTTTGTCAGATACTGCCCAAGTATATATTGTGCGGTTCTAGCAAATAAACCTTGTTGTAAGTCAGTGCCGCTGTCTGTCTCCTTCTTTCTCTTGTCCCTCGTTATTGGCGCCGTTTTTTATGTGAATTGTGTAGTTTCATTACCTTAACTTCGAAAGAACCAAGGTTTGTGTTCGTTTGGCCGTTCACCATGGATTCTCAGTACTTTACGCCAGCAAGTATAGCATAGCCGGAAATTATACATTTATTTCCTTCGTATTTCCACATGGTTGACGACCTTCCATCTGTACATTACCACAGCGCGTTTGCCGGAATATTTTTTTTATTATGAAGTTTACATCTTTGTCCTTGAAAATATCTGGAAGTCCTCCAATTGACCTAACACTCTTCTTCAGTGTATCTATATCTGTTGCGCGGCTACCGTCTGCGTCTATTCCACATCCCAGGAAAAGTGTACAGTTCAACATTCACTGCGCATTTCTACGCGTTTGTAACGATGACATGAGCTTAGCTCAGGAGCACTGCGAATAGGCAACTCGCGCGCCCACTGGCGCGAACCCCATTCGCGAGCCAATTGACTGATGATGACGAGAACAAACAGCGCTACGGAGAGGCCAAGAACGCCAGACTCTACCAGTGTTTGTTCCCGCCACAATATTGTACTACCAACCGGCCCGCTTAGGAGAGCGTGCGCAAGATTGACTGGTATGTCGCAATGACGGACTATGCCACTTAGCGGAGCTTCTTTGGCCACAGGATCAATCGAAACCCGTTTAGCGCCAACGTGCTTTCCTCTTTGCTCATGTTGTTCTCCGCTCTGCTTTTTTAAGCCTTTCACACAGCACGCAGTTGTGAGGCATGGTGTGGCTTCTTCCTTCGTATGTCGTGTGTGTTTTACGGAGCGATGCGAACGTCGATTAGTGCTATCAAAAGTGAAGCGCTGTCACGTGTGCCGATGGGCACACACACACGTGCCGTACTACGTGCCGACCATCGCGTGGCACGTGAGCGCACCCATGGAGTCCTGCGGACTTTCTTGAACGAAACGTCCGCCAGTTTAAATACATGTTTTCCATGTTTTCACCCATGCATTTCAAATTCTACTGCTACTATATACTACTACTACTACTACTATATACTACTACAACAAATAATAGCAGCATATCATAATAATATTAAGCCTTGGTGATCTATTTGTCTGTATACGACGTATACATGTGAGTGATCATGCACCTATCACTCGCGTGCGTCACAATGTGTTGCTTTCAGGAGCAAATCTCCGCCTTGCGCTCTGAATATACAGGGTGAAAAAAGCTCAACAAGGCACAAAGAAACGTGGCACCAGGCGAGCGGCATAAAGCGTAAACGAACGCTATTCAGACGTATACCGTCTTGGGATGTGATTTCTTGGCGTGGCGTCAGGAATTAAAATTGCTGTGTTGAATGACCAAATTTTAAGCGTCAACTACCCGCTGCTGCCACGTTCGTTTTTTTAAGTAGTAACTTCATCGCAACACCGAAAGTCGGCTTCCGGACGACCGCCAAAGCTGAAGAAAAAAATATGGCATTATATGTGAGTTTGGGCAGAAGTTATGGGAGCGATAATTTTTGAAGAAAAAAAAATTGTGATGCCGTAAAAGCGCTTCGAACTTGTGCAGAGACTTGAACTGTAGCGTGAAAAAGTTATCCTAATTTTTTGCTTCAATCCCTCACTGCGAAGTAGCCTTTAATATAGTGGCTCTGGCCTTTCAATATTACGATAATCTGTCGTTTTTGTTTCAACTTCTACTACCTAGGTTTCAAAATAGCAGTGAAAATGCAGCACTGTAACGTTCGCTGCAAAAAAAAAAAAAAGATTATTTCACAAGGAAGTCATTCAAAGCAACGGTGTTACAAATGAAAAAGTGAGAAAAAGTATCGTTGAAACAAATAAAAATGAAGACAAAGATGGAAACGGTAGCTTTTGGCCATATTGGGTTTTAATTTCGACACGTGAAAGTATGGTCTAGGCATTACGATACAGTGCAGTTCGTCGGTAACTTACGCAGTAGTGTTTGAAATAGTATGGCTTTACCCGGTAAAACAAATTGAACAGAACGCCCGGAAGCTTACGCAAGCTTTTCATTCGCGGCGAACGCCAAATGCCATCCGACGCCTCTTCTGTGCAATTATAGCGATCGTAATATGCATCTCGTTTAGTGTATAGTGTATACATGGATTATGAAGACTAGTTATAGGTGGCTCAAACGGAATTGAGAACATTTGAAAAAGTGTTTCGCATAACAAATTATTTATAGCAGATTGTAGATACAGAAGAGCAGTACACGTGCAATATGTACAAGTCGATTTTGTCATTTAGTTACATAGTGAAATCACAAGATTTCAATGCATGCATTTGAATTGGTATTCTTATGGTGGTTTTAGTAGGCGAGTGTTGAATACGAATATCACTATTGATTTTGCGCATGAGATTACTTTGTAGAATTTAATTTAATGTAGAATTTAATGTAGAACGGATGGAAATAAAATGAAATGTTTCAACGCAATAATCTGTGACGCCAATATCCTACAATCAGGACATGTCGCAAATCCATGGAATTTGGCCTGCATACCTTTTGCTGCTGGACAAATAAACCGCAAGAAAAAGAAGAGGTGGGAGACAGAAAGAAACTCTAAGACACTGACAGCGCAGAAAAGGTAAATATTTACTCACTGACGAAGCACAACCATTCGGATTACGCGGCATAACTATAGGTGGATATATGTAGTTAGTCTACGTCACGGGACGCGAGCATCTCCACATCATATTCCCGCATGTCAGTGAATCGCAATTTCTTCAATATATATATATATATACTGAATAAGAGCAACGATGGAGGCCTTAAGCAGGAGTGTTTTTTTTTTCTCCCTTCAAGGATTAGCACAATGCGCCGATCAGGGCGCCCTACTTCGACTTTCAAGGGCGCCTTGGGACGGAGATGAATGACCTCGCCTCGGGTGCGACTAGGCGAGCTTGACCCACGAGCCTGAAGGCCAGCGCCAACCCGCGTATTCCATCCACGTCAGCACCGGTGCATTTACGAGCCTTTCTTCTGAAGATCTCTCAGCTGGTGCACGGTCGTGCGTGACGAGCTGCATTTACATCCGTGGAGCAAGCGCCTATTTGTCAATCTCGTACAAACTTTGAAGCGTGTTGTATCGATAGAAAGGCAGATTTACTGCTCACTTCAGGGTCAAATCTTCCAGTGTCATTTTCGTAAACACGCCCCACGCAAGGATGGTGATGGCGAGGCCAGAATAAGCAGGAACAAAATTCTTTTTGTTGTTTTCGCTTCGAGATAACTAGCCAAATCACTTTAGTTTTCGTGGTTCGTTCTTATTACTGCCAGGGGCCAAATTGATTTGCCTAAATAACCAGGTGCACATGCAGAGGAATTGTTAGAAATGTATAGTAGTGTAGATTGGACATTTTTGTAGGATTGAGGATTGATTTTATACATGGCTGAACACTGAGAGCGAGCTTCGATCGCAGATGTATTCTGAATGACAGTGTGATAATACGTGAAGACTTCTTCAGAGAACCACTTGCTGTTATTAACTTAGCTTGGAGGCTTTAAGAGATGAAGTCTGATTTCACTCGCATAATTAGGAATATGGTCTATTACACACCAAATGACAGGTTTTCTTTTTGAATTCGGGAGTTCTGCTAGCCGCAATGACGATGCTATTATAAGACATGCCGTATTGGCGGGAAGGCTATAGACACTAGCGTTTTGACCAATTGAGGTTTTCTTAAGCGGCACACTTAACCTCACGTACGTACGTTGTGGCATTTCACATGCTTTAGCCTAAATATACAGCACCGTGGCTGGGAATACACCATACATAATCGAGCCTTAGCAGAGCAATCATGCGTTTAAAATGATTAGCTCTACTGACTGGCTTCATAGTGTTTTCTCGTTAACCACAATTAGAAGGAATATTTCTTAAACAATCAAACGCACGTAACTTTAAAAGTTTTCTAGGCAATCTGTATAATGTATAACAGTTTTCTCCAAGTGCATTGCTTCATTTTACTGAATGACGCACTCTGAATTATATGGATTGTTGGTTCTATAACCATATTGTTGTGCCACGTTTCCGCGTTTTTTTGTTGTTGATTCCAATAACATTGCATATCATAGCATATATTAGGCACTCGCTGCAGAAAAATGACGGACGCTGATGGTTTTCTAGCTGTAGCTCAAGGTTCGAGCACTGTTCCCAGCGGATTTCTGAAAGGATTACCTTTTTGTTAAAGCCGTTTATCAGAAGACTATTTCTTGATTATATAATGTCACTAGGGGAAAGAGCGCAAGTTTCGATGCCTGCAGTCGTATATTGAGGGTTGGCTTTGTCTCTATTCCAGTATTAACCTCCGATAAAGATCGTCACAGAAACGTGTGGTTCATTCTACACAGAAGCATGGAAGCACACAATAAATAACGCATGTCAAACTATAGTGTCTATAGTGTCTATGGTAAGCTTTTGTAGGTTATGATACACATGAAAAACACCAGGTGGTTTTGAAGCTGTGTCGAAGTATTTAATGCAAATAATTTGCTTGATAGCATGAAAACTTGTGGCGACTCACAATTTCATTCCGTAGGAGACTACGAGGTGCGTTATAGAGAAGTAATGCGACTAGCAACTCTGCGCTCGATCTGGTGGCGTTGTGTCTTAAGGCTTGTGCTAGACTAGTTTGTTTACCCCTTCCACTACTTCAGTCCAAGTTAAGTTCAACTCCGTGCAGCTAACAAAGTTATTTTGACAGCGTCGAAAGTGAAGTTGCATTTTTGTTGTGTATCACCGAAATGAATCACTGTAATTTAGAGCATCGTTGTACCACAAAGTTTTATGTTATACTTGGTGAATGCACGAGTATCCCTGTTGAAAGGCTGAAACAAGCGTATGGACAACAGTGATAATCAAGAGCACAAGCTTTCCGCTGGCACAAGTCACTTCAGGAAAGCTTAAAAACGTTAGAGTTAACCTCGCTCAGGGAGACATTGCAGACAAGTGGGTACTTCATCATGACATTGCACCATCACCACAAGGTCCTTTTCGCCGCTGAATTTTTGACCTCAAAATGAATTATTGTTGCTCCTCAACCCCCGAATCACCTGATTTGACTCTTTGTTACTTTTTCCTTTTCCCGAAATGTGAACATGTTTCATAAAGACGTTATTTTGAAACTCTGGACAAAATTCAAAAGACAACGACCGACAAGTTAAAATCAATATCAATTCAGGACTTCCAGCACTGCTATCAAGAAAGGGAACAACAACTCAACCCAAGGGAACTACTTCGAAGTGGATAACATTGTTGTTTAAAATAACTGAAAGCTTTGGTAACTACAAACTCAGTAATTACTTCTCCAAGCTACCTCGTATACTATGAGTCCAGTTTTCAGTATGGCCGATAAATTTAACAGCGTAATACTTGAACATCATTTGGGCTTGTCGAAACTCTTGCAAGATATTTGCGCTCAACTTGATCACCACATTGTTTTACATCGCGGTGGTGAACTATAACATAAAACTGATAGTTAAAACTTGCGGCTGTCAATTGATCTGCGGTGGGTGGACATTTGGCAGATCACAGCCGAAGTTGTTCTTGCACGCGTGAATTTGAGGGTACCCGTTCTTTGCGTATCTTCACTGCTCAGCAAGCCTTAAAAATCTACGAGGCGTATGCAGTATGAATGTAGAAACTGATAAATGCGTGAGTACGCCTTCACTCGCTTTGCACGTGAAAGAAAAAAGTGCATCGGAAGCATCATTGCAGACATCAGCGTTAGTAGCATCATCTGCATTTCCTTCTGTGTTCTTCGCATGTGTGTACATTTTCGTCGTTCTAAGTCAGCGAATTTTCGGGTGATGTCTAGCGCCCATCCTGTTCACGTGTCTCTTTCTCGTGTGTCTGTTCCGCTGCGCTTGCTTGTGTGCGCGAGTTCTACGCCCACCAACTAGTCGAAGTTTCTGCGCTGGATTGCAACTCGTGCCGAAATCCCGTAGATACGACAAAATTACACCACTCTTTACGAAAAATATTGAATAAGGCATGTAAAAGTTGTGCAATTTGAGAGTCATAAATTTTAAACACTGGGTGTGATAGCTTAAAGAGCTTGGTTTCATTCGTGCCACCAAGGCCAGCGTATACATTAAATGTTCTTTTTCTAATAGACTGCTAGCGATACTTGTGATCAGCCGCTCGAAGAAGAGGTTAAGCGCCAGATGAATAATGACCTAGCTTGTCCTTTTTATATACTCGATTTGGCCTGGTCTTTAATTACGGGTCCTCGATGAATTTACTTATAGACACTCTTGCAAGGACCGTGACGCGCTTGGAAAAGCAGTATTTATAAAGCGGGCCAGCGGGCAGTCAGGCGCGTAAAATTTCGCAACACAGCGATAGCTTTCTTCGAAAAAGCGAAAACGCGCGCGACTGTGGCGGTATTGCTCGCTGAAGTGGGCCACCGTGTGACCCGAGCCGGAGGGGCCGAATTTTCGCGCTCGATCACTCTCTCGGTACTTTCGCCAGAGGGAAAAGTGTTCGGTGTCGTGCACCCGTGTTTAGATAGGGCACGTAAGGTAAGGACAATGAAGTTTCGCAACCAACCAACGTAAGGACTCACAGCACATGGTGTAGATAAGCCGGAGCACGTCGTAGAGGTTAGTGTCCGTCGCTGCCCGCACCACGTTGGTCGACGAGCAGCTCAGCACGAGAGCTCCAATGATGACAGTTCGCAGGTAGCAAGCCATCGATTCTGCACCGCAACACGCGTGGTGCGATCAGCCGAACCGGTCCTTATATACGGCCTCCTTTCCCCGGAGCGGCACCGATGGCGCAGGAAGTGACGCACGGGCCGGGGCGCGCTATGGCCAAGAGGGGTTACGTAAAACGGTCATCACCGCACGTCGCCAGCCGCCCACGTGCGTCACCGAACGCGGACACGCAGACCGTTGCACACATCGCCATTCCCAACGACATGTCGACCAAACGACACACTTGGGTTTCACGCAGGCCGAACCACGCCTTTCGGTTTTGATGACTCCTTCAGCTGTCTTCTTGCTTCTTGGACGTGCTTCTTGGAAAAAGCCCCGCATTTGTGTCTTCGCATTGACATTAAGACTTCTGTCAGGATGTTTGACGATAGAATTCATAATAATTCTCTATACTGATTACTATCTCAATAATTTTATTATCATGACTCAATGAGACGTTTACAGCGGCCTGAGTTTGAGGACAATGGCAGACAAAGCAGTTAGAGCCTTTCCACAGATCACCTTGGCAACTATGGCTATTGGTTGTCTGAAATAAAATATGAATATGTATGCATGCATGACTCAAAGAACGAACCAATAAATTAATGAATTAATTCGGTGCTCAACCTTTGCAGCAAATGTTTGTCAATAATGGTATCTTCGCTGTTAGACAACCGTGCAATCGCAATGTACGGAACTGCTAAAGGGACACTGAAGAGAAACAATGACCTGGTTTAAATGCACTATGAGCAATATAATGCGTAAGTATCGCTGTCATAGGTTAATCATAAGCGGAGAAAATCAAGGTAGAAGTTTCATTTCTAAAGTTCGCGTCGCAATCTCCGCACGTGACGTAACAAATAGGAAAATGTATGTTTCGCATTTGCGGGACATTAGCACGAAGTGAGTGAGAGAAACAACTTTATTGTTGATCCGGCATAAGAGGGAAGAGGTAGGGGAATCAAAGGAAGACTCCAGCGTGCTCGGAGGTTCCGAAGCTGCAACTTACTCCCGTCAAACCCGTGGAGGTGCCGCTTTCAGCTACTGGCGCTCCAGGATGCCAAGCACGGGCTGGACAACGTCTCTTTGAGTGCCTGGTTCTTGGCTCATGATTTTGCTGCTGATGTTGGTCGGCATTTCTTCTTGGTTTCCCAGCCGCAGCGCACAGTCCCAGAGGAGATGTCTCTGTATGAATCGCGCATTCTTGCAGAGTTGACATACATCTGTGGAGCATACCTCCGGGCAGACATGCTTTTGCACAGACGGGGGTCCATATGGCTTGTACATGCAACTGCCGTAGTGTGGCTGCTTCGCTGGGTAGTAGGTCTCGGTGAGGTGGTGGGTAGAGGCGTTTGCTGGTTCTGTACCACTGCAGAACGTCGCCGTAGGTCGTGATGAAATACTCTTCGTCTTCAGCATCGGGTCCTCCTGGTTCCGAGGAATGTGTTAACGAAGACCCGCGGCTAGTTAGCGCGTGTGACTCCGTATCTGTCTCCTTGTTGCCTCATTCAGTCTTTGGAGCACGTCCAGAGGTAGCTGTTTAGCTACTTCCGGTGTCGTCCCAAACGCGTTGATCCCGATGCATAGTAGTATCGTTCTTCCCGTCCTGGTCTAGGACAGGCGGTGGTACTGCACCCTTCTCTGGACTTCTGCGATTTCTCCCGGCGCGTTGTGAACTCCCAACGCGAGTATGCGTTCCATGTTGGTGTAGAAGTATAGGCCCAGGGCCGTCTCGTACGTCTTTTTGATCATTGCGTCGATTTTGATCTTCTCCGCCTCTTTCCAATTGTGGAACAACGCTACGTAAGAGATATGGCTGACTGCAAACGGCTGGGTGAGTCGTAGTAGACTGCCTTTCTCATGCCGGGGTACCACGTGGCCACCTTCTTGAGTAAGCGGCTGGCCAGCGAGAGCTTTGCGTGGAGCTTCTGTACTGTCACGTTCTTGCGGTTCAGATCCCGAACGTGCAGACCCAAAACACTGAGCGTCGACACGTGCGGTATCGGCGTTCCATCTTGGGTTGATTCTATACCACGTTGATGTGCGGTGTTGTCGGGCGTCGCGCACGTTGCGGTGAAGTCACTAGCAGTTCTGACTTGGTTGGTGAACATTTGAGTCCGGTGGGTCGTAGGCACAGAGTAAGATAATAGAGGAGTGCCGACTCCACCCCTGCCTCACGCTTTCACGCGGGACACATCGTGCAACACGCACGCGGCGGTCTAACTCATTCCTTCGCTCACCTCCTCCGCTTATCTTCGTGCTTTCGCACATGCTTTTAAATGCAAAGCATTTCTTAGTGAACTTCGGCGGCTTTGTGCGTATCTATCTATCTATCTATCTATCTATCTATCTATCTATCTATCTATCTATCTATCTATCTATCTATCTATCTATCTATCTATCTATCTATCTATCTATCTATCTATCTATCTATCTATCTATCTATCTATCTATCTATCTATCTATCTATCTATCTATCTATCTATCTATCTATCTATCATACATGACATGATTTTAATGTTATGACTAGACAAATGTGTTCTCCAAACAGTCATCTTATACCATACCAAGTTTGGTATCGATACCATTATCAATACGGCCTGGAGAGCTAAAAGTCGCAGCGGGCTAGATAGATAAGATAGATAGATAGATAGATAGATAGATAGATCTATCTATCTATCTATCTATCTATCTATCTATCTATCTATCTATCTATCTATCTATCTATCTATCTATCTATCTATCTATCTATCTATCTATCTATCTATCTATCTATCTTATCTATCTAGCCCGCTGCGACTTTTAGCTCTCCAGGCCGTATTGATAATGGTATCGATACGATACCATTATCAATACGGCCTGGAGAGCTAAAAGTCGCAGCGGGCTAGATAGATAAGATAGATAGATAGATAGATATATATCTATCTATCTATCTATCTATCTATCTATCGATCTATCTATCTATCTATCTATCTATCTATCTATCTATCTATCTAGCCCGCTGCGACTTTTAGCTCTCCAGGCCGTATTGATAATGGTATCGATACCAAACTTGGTATGGTTGAAGATGACTGTTTGGAGAACACATTTGTCTAGTCATAACATTAAAATCATGACATGTATATCATGAATGTCATGATTTACATTTCATGGTCCTGCAGCTCTTGCGGTGGTTTAGTTCACATGGCGTGTTGCAAAACTGGTATGGTACGACATGATTGCATGGCGAACACAAGCGACAGACCATAACATGAAAATCATGACATGCGTATCATGTAACATGATTACATGCCATGCTCATGATGCGCTCGCGGCCGTTTCGCTATATATAGCGTCACATATACCAAATTTGGCATTACGGTACGTGAATGGATGGCGAAGGCATGTGACTGGTGCAAACATGATAATCATGAGATGCGTGTCATGTAACAACATGACTACATGCCATGATCATGATGCGCTGGCGGCCGTTTCGCTAGCTTGACCTATATCTAATTTTGTGTTACGAAACGTGAATGGATGACGAAGATATGATACTGGTGGAAACATGATAATCACGACATGCGTGTCATGTAACAACATGACTACATGTCACACTCATGATGCGCTCGCGGCCGTTTCGCTTGCTTCACATATGTAAAATTTGGTATTACGTGACGCCAATGGTTGACGAAAGTATGTGACTGGTGCAAACATAATAATTATGAGATGCGTGTCATCTGAGAGCATGACTGCATGCCACAGTCAAGGCGCCAATACATTTCGACATGACGCGGTGCGCGTGCTCGCCAGCGTTCATTTCGTCGCGTCACGCCGGCGTTGCCACGCCAGGCACCGGTCCTGCCAAATTCTCACAGGCGCGCCGCGCTGCGTTGCTCTGACGCATGCATATTTCAGTGCTTCCAGTGTCCCTCCGTCACGAAAAGAGGGTGACGCAGTGTTGTCTGAGTAACGCATCTGCATAAAGTCATCATCATCATCATCATCATCATCATCATCACCATCATCATCATCATCATCATCATCATCATCAGCCTGACTACGTCCACTGCAGGACAAAGGCCTCTCCCATGTTCCGCCAGTTAACCCGGTCCTGTGCTTGCTGCTGCCAATTTATACCCGCAAACTTCTTAATCTCATCTGCCCACCTAACCTTCTGTCTCCCCCTAACCCGCTTCCCTTCTCTGGGAATCCAGTCAGTTACCCTTAATGACCAGCGGTTATCCTGTCTACGCGCTACATGCCCTGCACATGTCCATTTCTTCATCTTGATTTCAGCTATGATATCCTTAACCCCCGTTTGTTCCCTAATCCACTCTGCTCTCTTCTTGTCTCTTAAGGTTACACCTACCATTTTTCTTTCCATTGCTCGCTGCGTCGTCCTCAATTTAAGCTGAACCCTCTTTGTAAGTCTCCAGGTTTCTGCTCCGTAGCTAAGTACCGGCAAGATACAGCTGTTATATACCTTCCCCTTGAGGGATAGTGGCAATCTACCTGTCATAATTTGAGAGTGCTTGCCGAATGTGCTCCACCCCATTCTTATTCTTCTAGTTACTTCAATCTCGTGGTTCGGCTCTGCGGTTATTACCTGCCCTAAGTATTACCTGCCCTAAGTAGCCGAGACAACCACGACCTTAATACTATAAGAACTAGCAGTAACCCAGATTACACCCCACCAGTAATGATAGAAGAAGTCAGAAAAGCTTTGGAGAGCATGCAAAGGGGCAAAGCTGCTGGTGAGGATCAGGTAACATCAGATTTGCTGAAAGATGGAGGACAGATTGTGTTAGAAAAACTAGCCACCCTGTTTACGAGGTGTCTCCTGACGGGAAGAGTACCAGAGTCTTGGAAGAACGCTAACATCATCTTAATACATAAGAAAGGAGATGACAAGGACTTGAAGAATTACAGGCCGATCAGCTTGCTCTCTGTAGTATACAAGCTATTTACAAAGGTAATTGCTAACAGAGTAAAGAAAACATTATCAACCAAAGGAACAAGCAGGATTTCGAACAGGCTACTCAACAATTGACC